GTATCTGCATGTAACTTTTTGAACCCCACTGCTATTCCAAACAACGTCGTTTTTCTGGACCATTCCAATTCGCCTCGTAATTGTAGGGGTGCGTCTGCGATATTACATTGACCGCGAAAGCAGCAACGGCAAAAATACACATTCGTGCATCAACACGGGCATGCCCGCAGACGGCGTATAAAATTGCGTGCCGATTACACAAAGAGAACCCAGTGTTTTGACTGCGAACATGAAAAATCAGCCGATTACAACACTCCGTCCGGAGGTCCTGACCTCCTTCACGGAGTAACAAGAAGCCATAGGTGACAATCCTCCGTGAAGATTTATATATTTCAACAAAAACAATCCCAAGGGTCAACGCCAGACCTACTTTGCAGACATTATAATTAGGCAACGGTTAATACAATGAGGGCGCGTCACAAGCATAAAACATAAAAAGACCTAAATCCATTACTGCTCCCAGGGCGTGTGAAGATACTGTGCTTCAAGTTTGAAGTTCATTTTGATTACACACACACAATCATTGCATTCACATAAAGATCGGACTATCATGGTCGTGTCACTATTAACGAAGACACCGTCTTACCGTGCCTGTTACTTATTAAGCGCGACTGGAACAGGCCAAATTCCAGCAACAGTCGTGGCTAGCACCGCGAGTGTTACTTCCGCCGGTCAGATACCCGGGATATCTGCTTAGAGAACCTCTGCTACCAGACAACTGCCTAAACCTACGGCCTATTCCACAGGATTGTAAAAGTAGGGATGTTTCTAAAATATGCATTTACTCCAATATCAAAACAGTTACGGTAAAAATAAAAAGACGTGCATCATCCCGGACATAATGCAACACCACATGCGAAATTACACAGAAATGCGACGTACGGAAGAATGCGTTTTGGCTGCGAACATCTTCCAAAAAACTTGCCATCTCTTAACCATGGGCAAAAACATCTGGAACCACTTATCAAAACCACCCCGTATCTGCATGAAGTTCCACCCCCCACTGCTATTCCAAACAACGCGTTTTTCTGGACCATTCCAATTCGCCTCGTAATTGTAGGGGTGCGTCTGCAATATTACATTGACCGCGAAAGCAGCAACGGCAAAAATACACATTCGTGCATCAACACGGGCATGCCCGCAGACGGCGTATAAAATTGCGTGCCGGTTACACAAAGGGAACCCAGTGTTTTGACTGCGAACACGAAAAATCAGCTCTTCACAACACTCCGTCCGGAGGTCCTGACCTCCTTCACGGAGTAACAAAATCCTTAAGATTTTAATCGGGTATTTGAAAATTCCCGCCCGTATAGCCTGAAGATATACACTGAAGATTGCCTTACAGTTTATATATATACAGGCAGATTGTTTTATTGTTTGTTTTGCACTCACAAGATAAAATGAAATATCACAATTGAAGTTAAGTAGACATGCATGGGAGGGCCGGAACCCTGGAGGTTTACATATTGCCCTTCCTAACACTATAAGATTACCATTGATACTGATTGAAACAAAATTTAAACGAAGAAGACAAAAATAACAGGAAATAAACAGAAACAATCGAAGAACTAACCATCTGAACAAAATAAAGATCAAACTAATTAATCTAGTTATTATGAACATAAGTACAAATGTAAATTATAGATTGAACCATCTAATCTAATTTATCAAATGTCAGCCCTTAAGACAGACAAGAATAAACAACCAGCCTGAATATCACACAGTCTTTAATGTAATATATTGTAGCCTTAGCACTAAACACTCTATGCTTGTACAGGATTTAAAGTTTATACAATATCTGACATAGGAATAAGGTAGCCATCTAATGATAATAAACTGTATCTGATGTAACTTGTGTGATGATTTGAGATGAAGTACTAGTAAGGATCTATTCCTTAAGATATTACTGGTGTGTTCATATTATTTTCAATAGTTGATTCAATAATTGTTAAAATCTTAATCATGATTTATATGATAATATATAGTGTTTTGTATACCATAGAAAATACTATTTCTAAGTATGATGCAACGCTAAATTGTTACCCTTTCACAGGAATTGATGAAGGTGATGAACTATTTGCTATGCTTAAATATCTGTGGTGTTTAAGGGCACTTGTTACATGTATAATGATTACATCACCCCCAATGTTCAAACAATTCAGAAATATTGCTATGGAGACAACAGATTATAAACTTGCTGCACGTGATGAAGATGTTGTTTGTCTTGTTCAAGGACATCTATTATTAGGGGAAGGTTTTATGGATGTTGTAAAGAGAGGAGACTACTGATGTTTATGATGTTTACTTGATTCTCAAGTCCCCAAATCACTGACAGCTTGCACTTCAAGTAAGTTATGGTTTGAAGTGTATATACATGATTGTGTAATACCATGTACCATGTAAGGCCATTACATTTTACTAGTAATTCGTCGGTTTTCAGGTTCTACACCAATCCCCAAATCCTCGTCTTTCGTTTAAGTGGGATTGTTCAACATTTCCTGCAATCCACATTTCAAGACGACTTGAATTTTAGGCCGTGTCTATACGGAATCACCCAAACCGCGATTCGGGTAACTCACATTCCTCACATCTGGTCCACGTGCCACACACACCTGTGAAACCGTGTCCGAACACAATACGCTTGAGCTACATTTATTGCTGTTTGATGATAACACGCAAGGTGGTGTGTTATTCATGTCAGAGGTCAACGACCTGCTTGCTGATGCCCCCCTCCCAGCGTATCTCGGCCGAATGCCGACGTGGTCCCGCCAGAGGCGGTGAAGCTCGCCCTAGAACGGACACATTATTTGGCCATTACTGCTCTTTAAGTTGCTGCCACGTAAAAGTTGGTATTGCATATAAAAAAAGAAATATCACTCCGTAATCCATGACCAGGCGAAGTTACATTGAAATCACATTGCGTTCAGACGCAAATCGCGATGCGGGGAAACCGATTCGAAACCACCTCTAGAAGTGGCTTGGGATCGAGGCGCTTTCAATGTGATTTCGGGGCGTTCACATGGAGCCACTTGAAACCGGCTTCGGGGTAAACCACATGTAAACCGCCTTGGGTGATTCCGTATAGACACGGCCTTAGTCTCTCTTTGATTTCATTGTAGAAGAATTTTTCTTTCCCAAATTAAGACAACTGTTAAATGGCTCACTTGACATTTTCTTTACCAATTTCGATCGTCCAACTCTTAATTGCTTTGGGCTGTCTAAGGTCATGTCCTTAAAGAGTTCAGTACAAGGGCTAATATTCCTGTTTGGCCCCCTGAATGTGATTAACAACCTCAAAGGTTTGCAAACAACTTCCATGCTTTGAGTGTCTGCAGAAGCCATTCTTTACAACAGACAACACCACTTCACGGCTACTTTAAGTTGCCCCAGACCAGGTGAGGTACTACAGGTAAAGGTGATTGTGTCAAGAACAACTCCTACATGTATGTGTCTTCCAGACGTCGTCTCTCTGTAAGTATTATTCGTTAAGGTGTATGTATCTGAACATTTCAGTTTGTGTTGAAAGTTCTGGCTAGTTATTCTTCTCAATCCACTGTTTTGTCACTCAGGTAGAGAGTTGTGATGCTAACTTCTGGCCTTGCCTGAGCCGTGATTTACGTGGAACTCAAAACAACTGCAAGACTTTGGATTCGTAAGATATCTATCTCTAACTATAGCTAGGTGCCTTGTGGTCCTTGGGGTCTACATTGTATGGACTGTGAGAGCCCAGCTCAACTAGGCTCTCACAACGATTTTGCTGTACGGTGACGTTTAACAGACTTTGTGTTGCATTTTCACATCTGTAACATGCTGGTTAAATGATTCAGAAGTAAATCTATGGTTAAATCTTCTCCCTGCTGTGTAACCATTAGAGACATAGTAGCCGAATGGACACTTTTGTGTGATAAAGACTAGATTGTTGGTCACATTACAATGATGTAACCAATAACATTTGTTTCTATGCAACAGGCTCAACAGTGCCAAACAATCATAAATCGTCGAGGCCGTCTTGACAGGAAAGTCTGCATAAACGTTGCAGGTAAGTTTTTTTTTAACAGTGGAACACATTGTCTTTTCTAGAGACTTTTTAGTCTGTAACTGTTTAAAAATTGTTTTAAAAGTGCACGAGTGAACTCTACGTGAGCCCATGATGCAAGTTTTTCTTCATTGAAAAGTCACATGAAATGAATTGTGTTTTTGTTCTTTCATTTGGTTGACTGGCTGTTTGGTTGTTTGTTGGGCTGTTTGTTTCTTGAGCTGGCTGGCTGGTACCTTTGATACATGTGTTGGTCTTAGAATATGAAGTAAAAGACAACATATTAATGCTTTTTTGGTTTTATATGTAAAAGTATCATGATCAAGGCTATTCTTTTTTTTTATTAGAGCAGGGAGTGCACCATGATGGTTAGGAAGCCAGCAGGTGTGCTGATGTTCCTCCTGGTCATCCTTAAGATGTTGGGAACAGCAGAAGCTGACTGCAGCTGCAGATATTCAGAATGTGACTGCAGATATGAGGACCTCACCAGTGTTCCACAGGACCTGCCTACAAACATCATAAGCTTGCAGTTGGAAGTTAATATAATTACAACTATAAGTCAGTCTGATTTCTTACAGTATGGAAGCTTACAAAATTTAGGACTTAGTACCAATCACATTTCTACTATCAACAGCCAGGCATTCTATCACCTGTCAAACCTGACGAGGATATTTCTTTATAGGAACCGGCTAACAATCCTCAGATCTGACATGTTTGTAGGGCTGGGAAACTTAGAGACACTTGATTTATACGATAATGAGATCAGTGCTATTCAGGCTGGAACTTTCAATTCAACACCTCAGCTGAGTGCCTTGGACCTGTCTAGCAACAAGTTAACAACCCTCAGATCTGACATGTTCACAGGGCTGGGAAACTTGGAGGAACTTCATCTGAACAGAAATGACATCACTGATATTCAGGCTGGAACTTTTAACTCAACATCACAACTGAGATACTTGTCCCTGTACAACAACTACATTCTATCCATTCCATCCAACTTACTGACAAATCTGCTGCAACTGAGAGACCTTAGACTGTCTGATAACAACATCACAACATTTCCCTTTGATGAGTTGTCAAGACTTCAAAGACTTTATCGACTTGACCTTAACAATAACCAAATGACAACTCTTCCATCCATAGCCTATAACATACTTTCCTCCATCTCTGATGTAAACATTGGCAACAACCCCTGGCAGTGTGACTGTAGGATGGTGGACGTTAGGTTGAAAATGGCTGGAACGTATCCATTTGAAGACCAAATCACTTGCTCCCAACCTGACCATCTCAATGGGCGGAAGCTTAGATTTATCCGCCTTGAAAATCTAAAGTCAGACTGTGAAGAACCAACAATTGTGAGATTTGTAAAAGGTGACAGTGTGCCGTTGTTTTTTGGGGGGACACTTCATTTAATTTGTGAAGCTACAGGAATCCCCACACCAGAGATCACAGTCACCCTACCATCTGGACTGATTGCTACAGTAGAGTCAGTTGGGAGGGTGACTGTGGACATGAATGGTAACATCATCATCAGAAATGTTACTGCTGATGATTCTGGTCGGTACGTCTGCATCGCAAAAAATTCTGTTGGCTCCACGTATTCTGTCTTCTCTACAGATGTCTCTCTGTTCTACCCCGGTGTTGTTGTTGGTTCTGTGGCAGGTACTTTAGCTGGTATTGTCCTCCTTGTTGGCATAATTATTTTCATAATCAGGCATAAAAGAAGCAGCAACCAAGGGACTCCTGTGGGCCAAGCCTTTTATAGTTAAGTGCCATCGCCACAACTACTGTGATAACCAGTGGGCAGAATCAGACGGGGCAAACCCAACCTATCAGTCTATCCATCAGAAACCCACAGCCCGTTCCACGGCCAATTTCCTCCGTGTCAGAGCATAGTTACGAAGCTGTGGACCCTCCTCCAATAGGGGCATTTCCGAGGCAAACCACTAGAAGTCTATCCTCTGATGTCACACACCCTCTGCTTGCCCCACAGTCAGCTTCCCCCCAATCTGAGACTTACAAAGACATTCCTAGTGACCCCAGACAGGCCCTAGGGCTACACGACAGAGATAACACTTCTTACGTTGAGCCTGCCAGTTATGAGAATGTACCTGTCAGTGAGCGTGGCTACCAACCTCTGATTATGCCCAGCAATGGCCAGGACACTTCGCATGGCTACCAGCCACTTACATGGACCTAAACAGCCAGCAAAGATTAGATTTGGATTATATCAATGATTTAGTCTATCTACGTTATACCAATGTGTTACCAAAACCTAAGGCTTGGCGCTGACTGCTTTCCACCATTTACACAATAGTATCTCTATATCTGTTATCTGTCATGATGAGTGTTATTGTACAGAGATTTTTCATTGGAGATCGCGTTATACACATTTTTCATAGTGGTGCTTATACGTGCCCTGTCCTTGGTGCTGACTGCCTTCCATTTACATAATAATGATTGTAGTATATCTATCTGTCATGATGTGTGTTGTTATACATAGATGTTGCATTCTAGATCTCTTTATGCACATTTTGTCAATATGTGACCTGGCAGAATTATTAGTTACTAGCAGGTTATGATTCAATGAAATATGACAGAATTTTGTCTGTTAAACTGTGGATACAATGGATTTTGTTGCTCCACTTGTTACTAAAATGCTGTGTGACAAGCCCTACTATATGTGTGTTTCACCAGTACACATCATTAGACTAATGCAGCTATCTTAAGAAGCTAGTACTGTACTAGCACCACAGTCTTATTTCACTATAATAGTACCTAGAACTACTTTATCATTATATATATATGATAGTGTATTTTTCCACAGTATGTATGAAGAATTACCAAAAGCTCTTAAAATAAGAGCGAGAATAAAGTTATGTACAGACTTTGTCGCATGAATTTGTATGTATGTGAGACTTCCTTTACTTTGTTCATCAACACTTCTTATGAACGTCCTTGACTTAAGGAAACAAAAACAGCAAATACCATATACGCCAAAAAGCAGTTACTCAGACAAGCAACTGGATATGATTTTGAAAACGTCAGATGTTTCAGCTAGTATCCACTAGCTTTCGTCAGTGACTGAGACTGAGAGACCAGAGGGGAAATTCAGGTTTATAAGCACTAACTATTGATTGATATGCAAATAAAGTGAAGACAAATTTTTGGAAGTCGAAAAAGGAACAAAGGTCAGACAAGTCATGACAAGATGATGCAAATTAGTCTGAAAGCTAAAAAATCTGTTGATCAATTTTCCCGCAAAAAAAACCCCACCTAATTGGCACCCTCACCTGGTTAATTAATTGGATTAAAGTTTTCCCGCCAAAAAACTTGCTATATGGAGCACTCTAACCTTGAACTTGTGCCCCCCTCCCCACTCTTCCTGCCCACCTCCCCACACTTCTTCCACAACTTAGAGTATGCTCAGTAGTACACTGTTCGCTGGACTTCTTCGCACATGTAGTCACCACACTCTGCTACACAATGGTTGATCGAGTGCAGTTTTTCCACCACTTAGACTTTAGAATCTCCGGCTCTCCTGGTCAGTCAATTGCACTGGTATACTGATGTGTCGAAGCATCAATGTCTCCGGAAAGACATCCCCCGGGGAGTACACTTAGTGCATTGAGCGACCAGGAGAGCGAGAGATTATTCTTACTAAAGTCTAAGTGGTGGAAAACTGCACTCGATAAACCAAGTGTTTGTGTAGCAGAGTGTGGTGACTACATGTGCGAAGAAGTCCAGAGAACAGTGTAACTAAACATACTCTGAGTTGTGGAAGAAGTGTGGGAGGTCACAGGGCAGTGGGGCACAAGTTCAGAGTGAGCCATATATTACATTTTTTGGCGGGAAAACTTAATCCAATTAATTAACCAGGTGAGGGTGCCAATTACTTTTTTTTGGCGGGAAAATGGACTTGAGTGTGGAATCAACATGGCCTAAGATACAAAGTTTTTTTGTGGGAGAATTGAAAAGTGAAGAAAGGTCTAAAGCGACAATTCTGGGGGCAATTTGGCAGCTTTTCTTGCAGGAGAATAGAAGTGTAATGAAAGTTCTAAAGCAACAATTTTGGGGCAATTTGGCAGCTTTTTTATAGGAGAATTGAAGTTTAAAGAAAGGTCTAAAGTGACAATTTTGGGGGCGATTTGGCATCCGTACAATACAAAGAGGGAACAACATGGAAATTTGAATTGATGCAGCCGGCTGAGATACAAAGTTTTTTTTGGGAAGAATATAAGTACAAAAGTCTAAAGGGACAATTTGGCATTCGACTGTACAATATGAAGAATTTTTCAGTGTTGCTTGTCTTGGAATTGAAGTCGCTGCGAGAAATGCGAGTGCAAGTGTAACAGTGCATATGGAGTGTTGTCTCATGTTAAAAAAGAAAACATACTCACACATCCCCATCTTCTTTTACACAGGTTGAGATCTGCTGGCTAAAGTCTGGTCCTTCATCCTGCTACAGTCCGGTCTCCAGATCATCCACAACGTCATCTTGAAGACAGAGAAACAAAAGTCAGTGCATATACAGCTTTTGGCCTTCAAATCAAAGCTCAGAAGCACCAGAACAAAACTAGACCCCATTATTCCGTCGTAAGTTCTTTCAGTAGATTTAACGGTTTCAGCTATTTTAAAACCTGAGCCTCACTCTATCTATCTACAGTATCTTTTAGTTTTTACCTGTGAACTGACTTTAACCAGGAGCGTCTTTTAAGGGCAAATGGCAACTCAACATCCTTGCCATAAGATTTAACGGTATTTCAAAACCTGCCCAAATTTTCAAACTAACACTGAAAGCTATCTGCCCGAAGTACTGTAACTTCAATACAGTTCAAGTAGAAAGCCTTTACCTAACATGTCAACTCAACCCCTCTTAGACTAACAGTCTATCTACAGTATCTTTTAGTTTTTACCTGTGAAATGACTTTTAACGGCAGCGTCTTTTTAGCGAATGACCATTCTGGGGCTGTCCTTGTCGCACAAATATGACTTTTTTGCTGTGGCCATGTGCAGATTGTGCTCCCATTTATTAATCCGATGTTTTATAAATTGAAGTCAACAGTTTTACTGTCATCTTTTAAGCGAATGACATGTGTGTTATATGCCTCTGAGTTTTAACACAGCTGAGAAAAAATGTAACATGTAAATTTCAAAGCATTGTCTCACCTGTACGGAAACTCTTCTGTGTCTTCATGTCAACTGTTTTGCTGAGCATGAGCCCTCGTTGCATCTCGTTTGGACAGAAGTCGCCCATCATCACAGGTTTCTCCCAGGCAGGACTGGAACATCAGGACACACCTAACCATATGAAAGAATCATTAGTATATGGTTCTAAGGGCATCTCAAGACAACACTTTAACTGACCATAACAATAAAATCAATGGAACTTCCATTTGCTGGAATGGCTGTACAAACTTTAAAAAAAAAAACAAGGTTCGTACATTTTAAAATTTTGACTCAATCATTGTACAAACGGTTTTTATTCAGTGGGAACATCACATAATATACAGCCAGCATCACTTTATTAAAGTAAGAAACAAAACATTAAATCAGAGCCTTGTCTTGTCTCCTCTCTTCATAGTTATCTGCCATCCACCTTCTGGCATGGCAACAGACATCTTTGCCCATTTTTGGCATGTTGACCACTGTCAGAAGGCAACTAAATTCCTTTTTTTCCAAAATCAGGCAAAAATTAATATGCAGGCTGATGTCACCCATTAGAATTACTTGCTGTGGCCTTAGCCTCATCCCAGAAATATTGACAAGTGCACAGTGGCAGTACTAGCTAGTCATTTACTCAAATAACCAACAGTTGCCTCAGGATATATCTTCAACATTTTTCCACAATATTCTGATAGATAAGAAATGACAAAATGCTAAAATTTGCAAACTGGAGCTGTAATTGCACCGCCGTGATGCTTCAGGGAATTTGACAGAAACATCGATAATTGTTTATTGCAAATACTTGCCCGAGGGCTAATTGCAGAAACAGAAGAAACATGGTATAAAAACAGACAATTAGTACATATTGATTAGAACTATTGATAACTACTAAGAAAGTACTGGTAAAAAAACTACTGGGTTTGACTTCTTTTTTGAAGACAGAGGAAGACAAAGGATCCCACTTTTTCTGTAATTTGTGCGTTTTCGGATGTTAAGAGGAGAGTAGTTTTCTTTTCATTTGTATATGTGTGAAAGTTTGGGTAGAATTTGGAGGCTACGTCAAAGAGTTCATTTTGTTCATTGCTATAGAGGGTACAAGTTGATATAAAATGCGTTTCGTCTTCCACCGTACTCAACGTACAATGTTTGCAAATTCGTTCATACACTTGGAGCTTCTTGTACCGCCCTCTCTCAATTTCGAGAGGGTGTGCAATTTTGAGATCAATAAGCCCACGTGCAGCACATTCCAACAGGTGGTCGCTGAGCCGCGCTTACCACGTGGCGTTACAACAAAACATTTCTCTACTTCAGAACAGTTTTCCCTCCAACATAAACTCATAGCTTTTCTCAGAGCCACTGGGCACATGAAAAATTAGATATACTTATCTCGTAAGATTTCACCAAGAAGTTAAAAATGTCATGAAGCGGCATATGTAACGTTAGAATACATGTTCTACATAGAAACTTTCAAATTGGCTATCTTACTGAGATTCAAT